CCCCCTTTCCGGTCAGCCCCAGTTAATGTACAAAACATGACGTGATAGGATATGGAATATCTTACTGGCGTATCCAGCTGTCAGTTCTGGGTTTTGCTAATCACACTTTTCTCCCCACCCCCTTCCCCCCGCCCTGGTCCTCTGCACTTGCAAACTGCCCAAGCACAGTGTCCTTGCAGTTATCAACATTGTTCTCACAACAGTCCTCACTGAAACCAAAGCACAGTGCTTTCTAGCTACTAAGAAGAAAATTAACCCTATGCTAGCGAAAAAAAGACACCCTCAAAACCTAGTTATGTGTATTATGTGTAATAGTTACATTACTATCTGCTAATATAGTGGATTATAGAAATGTATGTTTTTAGCTTAAGCATCATCCTTTGTAAGGCTGCTGGAACAAAAATCTTGTTCTGTTCTTCCTAGTCATGTGCTAAAGAGAGGTGAGTAGCAGATGTCATAAACCTTAGGAAGCTGCAATTTAAGCCATCGGAAGGACACACTCCTAACACATTAGGTAGATGTTGTCTTGTAGTGCAGGTAATGAGTTCTACTATCTGTTCAGACTTGTCCAATTTTTAATTTATAGCAGAATATTCATAATTCTATGAAAATATCTTTAAGTTACTTACCAGTGAGTCCTAGAAATAATGTAAGTGAAAAGATTTTTAAATTCCTTGCTGGAGAAAATAATTCTGTCTTTATGTGAATGTGAAGTTTATTCATGTTTCCTGTAGAACACATAATACCTGCAGAGGATGAGAGAGAAAAAGCACTATTTTCTTGCATGATTTGATAAATTTTGTTAAGTTTGAGGAACTTCTATGTTAGCAACTTAAAAGTGCCTGCTTTTCATCTGTAGTACAAAAGTGCTTAAATTCAACACACCTAAAAAGTTGCAACTAGTGTGTAACAGATAATCAGATTCCTTTTGCACTATCATTCTGTTTGAGACGTTTCTAAAACTACTTCTTGTGAAGCAGTGGTTCAGCTATGGCGTAAATACTGGCGTATGGTATCACTGAGGACTTAAAAATTTTAATCTCAGTTTTTAAGGCATTGTTGAGAGTTCAGCCTTTGAAAACTCATGATTGAAAAATGCTATAGGTGACCCTATATGCGGGATAAGAAGGGTGGCAGAAAAGTGAAGGTTTGGCAGTATCAGCAGCATCACCGTAGGAGTCTTTACTGCTACTGAATATTAAAAACTATGTTACATTTGCTAATGAAAATGAAATGTAGTCTGTCTGTTTTTTGTCATCAGTAATTGAACACTTCTTGAATAACAGCCTATCACCTTTATGCAAGATTAAAATAGCCATTTCAGGTGAATACCAGATTAATTTGGCAGTGATTACATTGAAGTACATTTATAAAAAGGGGTTTACATGAACAAAATAAATGATGCTACTGCTTTGAAGTAACCTCTATTTAAACACTTTCTGTTCCAGATTTGTACTATGGTGGAGAAGCTTTCTCTGTAGAGCAGCCACAGTCTTTTACTTGTCCTTATTGTGGGAAAATGGGTTATACGGAAACATCTCTTCAGGAACATGTTACTTCTGAGCATGCAGAAACATCAGCAGAAGTGGTAAGAAGCTTCAGAATGGGCTTGCAGTTGTGGTGAAAATGTATTAAAAAGGGTCTCTCTTCTGGAAAATTGGTATTTGCCTGTTCTTTTTCTTTCTTGAAGCACGAGTCCATTTAAATGCTTTGTAAGAAGGTGTACCTACATTTGATGGGAACATCAAAATTATTTTATGTTTCATGGGTATTGTAATATGATGAGCTTACTTTCTTCTTTTATGGTTGCTATCAATTCCTCCCAATAAAGTAACGAGGTATTTTCTAGTCTCAGTGTGAAGGTATTTAGGTCTAGTTTGCACGTAAATTGCTTTTCTTCACTTTCGTTGCTGTGGGCCAGGGTTGTAACAATTCTGTGAAAACAAGGCCTTTAATTACTGTACCTTTATGATGACAGGTTATTAGTGTCCACAGAATTCTTGATGGATTAAATGAGCAGTTCAATAGAATAAAAAGTTTAATCATCACTAAAATGTGAATGAAGTGGAATCCAAATCTGATGGACTTGTCAAAGGAAAAAAGTTATTAACTTGATTTTTATAGCTTTTGCTTGTCCTTTTGTTCTTCCTGTACCAGTGACAAGTGCATCTGGCATGTTCTGCAGGAATACAAATGGGGAAAGGAAGGTCTGTTTTACGTGGCTTTGAAGTCTATTGAATTTATAGCAGTGCAGGTGAAGTCACTGAGTTGGGAGGAGCTCCCTGTCTTGCAGCTGTGCAAGTTTCTGTTTGAGTATAGCTAGTTTAATTCCTTATGATGAAGCACCACCATTTTTATTTTTAAAATAAAGGTTAAACAGTACATGATGCCAAATATAAAATGAATAGAACGTTAATGAATTTTGTAATATGATGAGCTTACTTTCTTCTTTTATGGTTGCTGTTTGGTTGTCCTGATGTAAAGGCTGCCATGTTTAGGAGTTTATTATCCTGTAAGACAAAATTTTGGATGTTCTCATGGTTATTCTGTGTAGCTCTGTCTCCCTATTCACAACCAGTGTGTAACTGTCCTGGAAGCTCATAGCTATGCCGGTCTTTTATAACTGTAAGAGAGAGGAAGACACGCAGGCAGTTCGGTGTGTTTTTCAAATAGCTTTTGTAATGGACCTGGTGTATTTATGCAGCAGAAGTGGTCATTTTTTTGAAACTATTGTTTTTAAAGCAGGATTTTTTTTCCCCCCAATCCCTAACCATTAGGACATTTTACATGGTTAAAATGGCACTTCTTAACAAATGCCAGCAGAAATACTTTAATCTGAGGTTTTGTCTCCTGGTATCCTGTTTGTCTTTGGGAGCAGGAGAAACTAGGTTAGCAGAAAGGCATCAGGCAAGCTCTTGTCTGGTTAACTGTTACACCATAGATTCCTAGAAAAATGTGAATGCTTGAAGTGGATTACCCAGCACTTGTGATGAAATGACTAATGAATAGGTTCTCTGTTCTAATCTGGTTTTCTTAACTTCCCAGGAATTATGTGGAAGAAAATTAACCTTTCCTCTTCAAGCCTATTAAGGATCTTCTGCAAATGGGTGATAAGGGAGGTGGTTTATCCACCTTTTTGAGACTCAGACGTGTTCTGATCTTTCTTAAAAACTTACAAAGTGGAACACAGTTTACTTCACAATTAGTTGCACTGTAGGATCATGATTTAACTTAGTGGCACACTACAATTTTTATCATCTCCTTGAGTTTTTCTTTAACTTTGTGACTTCCAAACATAGCGTCAGCCATGGAAAAGTTTCACGTTTGGGTTACTTTCTTTGGTGGCTTAGTATTGCAGTTCTGATATGCACCACTTGATGTCAGTGATATGTTCCTGAACGTTGAGATTCCAGGTTTTTAAATTTCACACACAGAATCACAGAATGGTAGGGGTTGGAAGGGACCTCAGGGGATCATCTAGTCCAACCCCCCTGCCAAAGCAGGTTCCCTACAACAGGTTGCACAGGAGACTGCATTTCAACAAGCCCTTTTTCAAAGCACTACTTATTCAAATAATTCATTCAAGTCAAGTTAAAATCACAAAATCAGGTGTTCAGAAGTTTGGAAATGCCAAAATTATGACTGTCCACATCCATTACCGTAATCCTGCTGTGTGTACGCGTCATGGTACAGACGCAATTATGTCATTCGTTTTTGACACATACCTGTTTGCAGCTCTGGCTTCTAGAACTCGGTGTATAAAGCCTAAACTTGTGATTCTAAACACCTGCTACTAAGGTCAGTCTGCAGCATTGTTACATCTTTGTTCTAAACAGTGACAAAGGATAATATTTTAATCCTTGAATATGATTGTATTTTTGTGCAAAGTTTTGAATTTAGCTTTTGTGATAAATGTTTAGTGTACATGCACATAAAACTACTTGGGTACTGCATTCTTATTCTAGAGAGTGGAAGGCTACAGTATTACTACAGGAGGAAAATATGGATTCTAAATTATTGTGGTCTTAGGCTTTCAAGCAATTATTTCTGTTTAGATAGTGAGCCTGTAGTCCTTGTAGTATCTCTGTCCATCCAAAGATGTGGTTTGCTTTAGATATATATTTTTAGATCTTTAAGAGAAGTTTGCAGAGGTGGAATCACTTTTCTTTTGCAGCTCTTTCCTGCCCTGCCCCCTGTTTTTCAAAGAATAAGTAAAAGAAATGTTGGTCTACTAAATTTTACCTTTTTTATGTTCAGAGTGATGCAAAGAAGTTTACTTTCTGCTGATTTTTCTCAGGCATCTGACATTGGTATGTACAGCAATGTTAGGTGCTTGTGGGTAGGAATCACACACTGACTGAGGTTGGAAGAGACCTCTGGAGGTCATCTTGTCCAACCCCCTGCTCGAGTAGGGCCACCTACAGCTGGTTGCCCAAGACTATGTCCAGATGGATTTTTAATATCTCCGAGGACAGAGACTCTGCGGTCTCCTTGGGCAACCTGTGCCAGTACTCAGTCACCCTTACAGTGACAAAATGTTTCCTGATGTTCGTGAGGAACCTCCTGTGTTTGAATATGTGCTCGCTGCCTCTGGTCCTATCACTGGGCACTACTGAAAAGAGTCTGGCTCTGTTCTCCTTTCACTCTCCCTTCAGGTGTTTATGTACATTCATAAAATCCCCCACTGAGCCTGCTCTTCTCCAGGCTGAACAGTCCTGGCTTTCTCAGCCTTTCCTCCTAGGAGAGATGCTCCAGTCCCGTATCCTCATTGTAGCCCTTGGCTAGACTCTCTCCAGTACATGCATGCCTCTTATGTGCAGAGCCCAGAACTGGGCACAGTACTCCATGTGTGGCCTCACCAGTGCTGGATAGAGGCAAAGGTTCACCACCCTTGACCTGCTGACAGTGACCTTCCGTAATGCAGCCCAGCTGTCTTTGCTGCAGGGGTACATTGCTGGCTTATGGTCCACCAGGACTCCCTGGTCTTCTTCTGCAAAGCTGCTTTCCAGCTGGCTGGCCTCCATTGTGTGCTAGTGGCTGGGCTGGTTCTCCCCAGGTGCAGGATTTTGCACTTACCCCTGTTGAACTTCATGAGGTTCCTATTGGCTCATTTCTCCAGTCTGTTGAGGTCCCTCTGAATGGCAGCACAGCCCTCTGGCATATCAGCCTCTCCTCCCAGTTTTGTATCATCAGCAAAATTCGCACTGATCACCACCTTCTGAGCCCAGCCATTAAGCTGGTTTTCACTCCACTGCTTATGCAGCCTTTGTGTTAAGGGCTTGTCGATTAGGTTCCTGTGGGAGACAGTGTCAGAAGCCTTCACTGAAGTCCAGATAGACAATATCCGTTGACCTCAAGTCATCTTCCAAGACAGTCACTTCATCATAGTCACTTTGCCAGGTTGGTCAAGCATGACTTCCCCTTAGTGAAGCCATGCTGGCCACTCTTGATTATTTTCTTGTCTTTAATGTGCCTGGAAATGGTGTCCAGGATTAGCTTGCACCATCACCTTTCCAGGGATCGAGATGAGCTGACCAACCTGTAGTTCCCCAGGTCCTCCCTCTTACCCTCTTTTAACATAGGAGTGACATTTGCTTTAGCTCCATCCTCAGGCAGCTCTCCCAGTCGCCATGACTGAAAAATTGAGAGCAGCCTTGCAGTGGTATCTGCCAGCTCCCTCAGCACTTGTGGGTGCATCCCATCACAGTCAATGGACTTTAAGTAGGTCCAGTTCACTTAAGTATTCTCTAACCTAAACCTCTTCCACCAAGAGAATGTCTTCCTGGCTCCAGACTTTCCCCCTGGTCTCTGGAACCTGGAATTCTCAAAGGCTGGTCTTGCTAGTAAAGACTGAAGCAAAGGAGGCATTCAGTACTTCAAGCTCTTCTGTGCTCTGTGTAAAGAGATTCCTCATCTTTTGAGCAATGGTCCCACATTTTCCCTAGTTGTCTTTTTGTTGTCTCCATACATCTAGAAGCCCTTCTTGCTTTTGACATTACTCCCCTGGTTCAATTCCATTTGTGCTTTAGCTTTCATTACTTTGTCCTGGGATAATGTTTCTATATTCCTCCAAGGTTACCCTAAAAGGGTAACCTCTGTATGCTTCCTTTTTGTGTTTGAGTTTGGCCAGAACTATCTTGTTCATCCATATTGGCCTCTTGGCATTTTTGCCTGACTTCATATTCATTGGGATGGAGCACTCTTGAGCTTGGAGAGGACAGGCTTTCTTCAGGCTCCTCTACCCTCCAAGGCCTTATCTGACAGGACTCCTCCAAGCATGTATTTGAAGAGGCCAGAGACTGCTCTACTGAAGCCCAGGGTCGTGAGCTTGTTTTTCATCTTCCTCCCTGCCCTCAGGATCCTGAACTCCACCATCTCAAGGTCACTGCAGCCAAGAATACCTATGACCTTCACATCCCAAATAAGCTCCTCCTTGTTGGTGAGTATGAAGTCCAGCAGTGCATCTCTCCCCATCAGGTTCTCTGTCACTTGACGAGGAAGTTGTCATCAGGGTAATCCAGAAACCTCCTGGATTGCTGTCATGCTGTGTTGAGCCTCCAGGAGATAACAGGGTGGTTGAAGTCCCCCATGAGGACAAGGACCTCCAAGTGTGATGTGGCTCTTATGTGTCAGTAGAGAGCCTGACTCATCTGTTCTCCCTGGCCAGGTGGCCTATAGTAGACACCCACTATAATGGCACCTTTGCCTGTCCTTTCTTCAATCCCAATCCATGAGCTCTCTATCAGCTTTTCTTCCATCCCCAGGCAGAGCTTCATGCAGTCCAGCTGCTCTCTCGCATAATGGGCGAGCCCCCCTTCCTCTCCTTGCTGAAGAGCACGTATCCAGTTCTGGGAGCCATCCCACCATGTCTTTGTGATTCCAAGATCATAGTCCTGCAGCTGCATGCAGATCCCTGACTCATCATGGTTATTTCCCATGCCGTGTGCATTAGCATATAGGCACTTTGGAGAGGCACCCCAGCAAGCTAAGGTGCTGGAGAGGAACTCCAGGAGGAACGTTTGATATTTTTTTTTGAAGGTGATTATTTTAATTCTGAGTACTTTAATTGAAAATTTTACTGATTTCTGTGGGAGTAGTTGTAAGTTTTGTGATTGATTAAGTGTCTAAAGTTACACATTAAAAAGAACAAATCATATGATTTTGGTGAGTGCTGAAACCTCGGTAATTACCAGTATTTCTTCACCAGTAAATGTCCAAGGGTAATGGTAAGTGTTACAAGACAAGTGCAGAAGAGTCTGGCTGTCATTATGATGGTTGCTATTGTTGGTGTTGGGTTTCTGATCAGTTGACTGTAACAAAAAAGGTGCAACGTTCAACTGGAAGTCTGCTAGTATTGAAAATGCAAAAAAAATAGGAAACTTCATCAAATGTCATCTTTGAATCTCATTTCAGAACAGAAACACAGATTTCCTACTATTACATTGCACTGGAGCAACTTTCTCACATTTAGCAAGGCAGTAACTAGGCTCCTTGTACATGAACTGCAAGAACTAGGTTGTTAATAATGTTACTGATAAAATTGAGGATGGCTTTTCTTGCAGTAATGAAATAGACAATCTGAGACAGTCTGATTCGTGTTTCATTTTTGAAGATGACAATGTCTCTTGTTGCAGTTACAGAAATACTGTCACTTAAAGTGGTTACCTTGTATGTAGATAGGGAGGCAGCGGTAGTATAAGCACACTTCTGGAAACTGGCAGGTATTCTGTGAGCATGACTGACTTAGGACTTCGCAGTCATCTTTCAGACATCATTCAGGGTAACGTTTTAATACAAGTGATCCTAACTTCAGCAGAAAATTTTGACGATGTGTTCCTTTCATCTGCACTATTTGTTCGTGCATGTTCTGTGAATAATGATTTTTAGCTGTGTCATGCTTAATCGGTGATGCTGCAGTCCTTGTTGTGATTTTGGTAGAGCTTATGCTTAACTAAATTTTTATTTGTGTGTAACAATGCTTTGGTAACTTTGCCCAGTCAGGGAGTTCTTAGAAGTTTAATTCATCTTTAGAATTTGGGTTAGGATACTTAGGTTCCCTCCTTCTCATTGCTCCTTGTAACTTTTTCTTAGCTGCCTAAGGACCGTGTCTCTTCTTTTAAGGCATATGTGCGCATTTCGTAATGCCTTTGCCCTGTTAGCAAAAAAACTTTCTTTTGCTTGGCTGCTTTCACAAGTGTGTTGCTCTTCTCATGCGTGAAGAGCACTGGGAACTGGGGCTTTATGTTGCAGCCAGAGTTGCTCCATAAAGACAAAACTACTTGACTGTGAGGAACAGAGAGATAAATTCATAGACAGCAGTTGAATTTAACTGTCAAAGTGGTATTAATTCGAGCACTGAACGTTTGGGGAAGAATTTTGTGCAATTGATTTTTTTCTGCCATCTGTAAAACTTTAAAATGTATGCAAAACTACTGTAAAGAAAAATGGAAGGTGCTTTTCAAGCTGTTTGTGGAGTCATTCAAAAAACAATTCATAATTATGGCAATTGTAATTGCACTGTTTGTCTACTTAGTTAATGTGTGTTTTGGTTTAAAAAAAAAACAAACAGAGAAACAAAAAAACCCAAACAAACCAAAGACAGAAGTCAGTGTCTTCTCCCAAAACAGTGTTGTGCAGGGATATGGAGATCAGCCCTTCTCTGCCAAACCTGTAGTTACGCACTGCCTGGATGGGTGGTCTCAGTTTGATACTCCATCGAGTACTTAAGTGTGGTTTCATTCTGATTCTTCTGCTAGGATGAGCGTCAAGCAGGCAAGTAGTAATCCTTTGTAATCAGACAAAAAAATTCTAGCTTTAGTTTTCATAGCATTCTGAAAATCATAAAGTAAAAGATGTCTTAATTAATGTCTGCACTTGAATACATTTTCTGGGTTTTTTAATGTGTTGTTATCCAGGTGTTTGTGAATACCTAGATTGTGATTTTAAAGCATAAGAATAAATTTCTAATGATTGACTGAATAATGTGAGTTCTGTTCTGTGTAAAATTTATAAAGTTTGGGTTTTTTTCTTGCTTCATTTCAGATTTGTCCAATATGTGCAGCATTACCTGGAGGGGATCCAAATCATGTCACAGATGACTTTGCAGCTCATCTTACACTGGAACACAGAGCTCCTAGAGATTTAATATCCTTTCCAAGTTGAACCAAAAAAGCTAGACTATTTCATCTATGAGCCATGACAACTTGGTTTGATTTTTGTAGTCAAAGGGTCATACCTCTGGTTTTCCTGGAACTTACATTGCTAAAGATCTATATGTCAGAAACAAAAAGGTTCATTTGATAGTTTAAAAAAGTATAGATACTAGATTGTGAACAGACTGTAGATTTACTTCACAGTGCCTTTTACTCTAACAGGAAAAACGTTTTAAGAACTTTGACGCTGAGAGTTTTTTTCTGCTTGTGCTGTAGTTTATCCTGCCTGATTTTTAGTCTTGATGCTGCTCAATGGATCAAGATCCAGTAGTGTACTGTTAAGTATTTGTGACATGAAGATGATGATCTGAGGATGATTTGAGGTTAGCTAGTTTTGATGAATGATTTTAAACTTGCTTATCTACTTCCAAAACCATATTTTAATAACTGAATTTCATAGTGTTTCTGACATTTTGTAATATAACTTGGGAAAACTTTCAGATTTCCTGGGAAATCGGATGTTGTCTTTCAGTTGCCTTACCAGCAGGTTATGCGGATTTATCTACACTTGATGGCTGAAGAGCTGGAATTATTGGGGGTTTTTATCCTTGTTCTAGCAATATTTTTCTTTTTTAATTCCCACAGCCCCTCCAGGATTAACTGGTGAAATGTATGTTGGTTTGGGCTTTTTATTTAATAGCATGCAGGCTATGTAGCATTCCTACAGTAAGTAATCTCTCTGATGTATTCATTTGTGTCTCACTTAAAAAAACAGACGAAAATACTACATTATTACTTCAATAATTAATTTTTTGTTTAAAGATTTTTAAAAAGGAAAAAAACCTAATCTAAGCCATAGCAACTGGAGTTAAAAAAAATCCAAGCACTAGCAACTGTAGTTCATTGTGCTAACAGAAGGGAGATGGGATTTGAGATGACTCCATTTCAGTTTTGATTGTGTTGGATTGCATTTAAGTTTGTTAGTGTTACTATGGTTTAGGGTCAGGACAGATCAAATGTGTGTGTTAACTACTACACAATAACTGGATCGGTGTAAAGGAGCAAGAGCAGGGACAGGAGCAGGGCTCTCAGCTGTTGGGAGGAGCCGGGTGCTGAGTGCGGTGGCTCTGGCCATGAGAGTTGGGTCCCAGGTGGCCAGAGAGGTCCTCCATGGTCAGGTGTCCCCCAAGGTAGAGTCATGCCATCCTCTCTTTGGGGTGGAGATGGGATGAAATTGATGAGGGGAGAGCATCTTACAGACCATTGGATCTGTCCTGGCCTTTGGATGGCTCTGAGGTCCTGCTTGATGACTGGTGTAGTGAGTCACTGAGCAGTTTCTCTTGTATCAGTTTAGTTCTGCTCTTTCTACCAGTTGAGTTTTTCATAGCATCCGCCTAATACACTTTTTCTTACAAAATTTACATCCCTAATAACTACATAATAATGTAGCAGTAGTCAAACTGTGGCCCTCCAACATTGGCTTAACTGATCTGCAAGCCAGGAATTTTAAATTTTCCCAATTACAGAGTGAAATTAGTTTCCTACTGAACTGATGTTTGTTTAGAGTTCATACTTGTGCAGCTTTTTCTCCCCCTCCAGTATCAGAGGTGCCACCTGATGACTTTGAATTTGGGAATGTTTGAGCTAGAAAAATCAATCTTTTCAAGTACAGAGTAAGTCAGTCATCCCAAAATGGATCTTTCTTGGACATATTTTGGGACTTCATTGTCCATGGTTCAGCATTAAGATAACACATGTAGACTTTTCTACTTGTACACTTGTTGCTGCAGTGATAAGTGTTGTCAGGTTTCCAAAACCTGGTAAGTGTATCCTGAAGTGACTGTTCCATGTTGGGCTCTACATCATGTCTAGCAACAGGCAGGTCTAAAGTAGGAAAAAAGGAAGAGGAGATACCCCTTTTAATACAGGGTCTGGCAACATAGGAAAGAATAACAGTCAAAGGGAGATGTTAGAAAGCTGCTCTCTGACACCATTATACTGCTGTCATAAACATCTTCATATGAAGTTAAAGCCCTACAGAACAAGTCTCTGTGCTCTGTAACAACCTTCATGCACAAAAAGGAGACGGAGAGAAGGCTCTTCATTTGTACTTTTTCTAGAGTGAAGATTTCTGTTACAGTTTGAGATAAGCTCTTATTGTTGGGTCTGCTACAGTTCTGAGGAGTGGCCTCATCTTCCAAGTATTGGTGAGACATGTGTGGTTTGTTTTGGTTTTGGTTTTTGTGGTTTTTTTCTTAAGTTGTCCCAGAAGGCTGCATGTGTTTCTTGTTATAAACCTTGTGCAGCCATTGCAACTCTTTAAAGCCCAGTTTTTTACTTTAGCAGGAAAATATTTTAAAATGTATTAAATATAGCTTTTCAGCATCAGTCATACAAATAGTTCTCATATGGCTGTTCACTTTATCTGTTTGTCAAAATTTAAGGTTTACAAAGATTTTTCTTACTCTAGCATAGCTGGTGAGACTTAAGGTGAATGCACACTTAGCTGGTATTTAAAGAACAATGTTTATCTCAAAATGCTTCAAAAGCTGCAGTTAGGAAGGTTACCCCCCAGTTCTGTGCCCTCGTGAAAAATCCCCAGATACTGACTTTTTGTACCAACACACTCACAGGTGCAAGGCACTCTGTGCTAGGCAGTGTGTTCTATGCCAGGGGAGATTTTCCTCATGCACTTTAGATGTTAAGTGCTTCACAATGTAGCATAACTAACAGAGGCAAACATTCTGTGAAATCTTTTTGTAATAGCCAGAAGTTCTTTCTTGCCATGAGAAGTCTAGTCACTTCTTCCAGTCTTAAGTTCTTGACCTCTGTGACTGCACAGTGATTCTGTTTTGTGAAAAGTTCATTGGGCACTGCTCTTACACAGTAGTGAATACCGTACAAGTGGGAAGCATACTGTTATAAAGAACATGAGAGATAGGAGGATCTAAGATAGAAGTCTAGTGACAGTAAAATAAAATATTTAAGCCTGCACTACTTCATTTTGCATAGTGAAATATCCTAGTGGTTTTTAAAATAAAAGGAGACCTTATCTGGACTGTCTTGGAAGAATGAATGTTAACAACCTTCTGACAAAAATAATTTTTAAATAATCTGTTGATTATGAGAAAATGTATGAAAGGTATGACTTGAAATAAAGCATGTGATATGGAGAGGTTGGGGAAAATGGTAAAATGAAAGGCATCATTGTCATAACTGGAATTAGTGGCATTTCTTTGACTAAAAGAAGAAAGGTGAAACAAAGATGTGATGAAAGTGCTGAGTACTCTGGAAACCTACAATTTCTTAAGGATTGAAGCGATTAAATTTATTGGATAAAAGCATGAAGTACAAAAGTCAAAAGGAATAAAGTAATTATTATGTACTTCTGATAGGAATGGCAATAAACTTTATTATTTTCAATAGTTAACATAAGAATCGGGGAGGGAGAATAAAATCTTTATGTTTCTGTAGTAGGCTTGGCTGAACATGCATTTGCCAGTTTCCAGATTACTGAGTAGAAAACTGTGATCTAAAAAACCTAAGAAATTAGTCCTGATGTTTCTTAGACATAAAAAGCTGGAGACGTACAGAGAGTTTGGTGTGCACAGCACTGGGTGTCTTGAGTTCAGATCAGTCAGTCTGACTTGCAGCATTCCTACAGTGTGCCTTAGCTTTACTTCAGAAGGTGAATCATTATTTTATGAATGAAAAAGAGTGTGCACCTGAGTATTTTACCCACCACATGTCCTTGTCATTTAATAACTCTGTGCCAAACAGCTCTGTTTTCTTAACTTCTTGGTTACGATGAATCCAGTGGTGTTCGACATGTACGTAGGATGTTCCACCCAGGCCGGGGCTTGGGAGGCCCCCGTGCACGTAGATCAAACATGCACTTTACTACCAGTTCCCCTGCTGGGCTTTCATCTTCTCAGAGTTCGTATTCTCCAAGCAATAGAGAAGCCATGGATCCTATAGCTGGTAAGAGCTGTAACCACAAATTTTACCCAGTGTCATTTGTACACGGAGGAAGTAAAACTCAAGATGGTGATGGCTGCCCTCCTTTCTGTTGTTATGAAGCTGCATGTATGGGTATGCTCCACGGTGCAAGTGTGATTGGTGGCTGCTTGCAGGTGAGCAATGTGCTTGGCTGGGTTGTCACAGGGCCTGTGCATGGAGATGCTGAAGCTGAAGCCACAGCCTGTAGCTTGTGCTTTAAATTCCAGATGGTGTAAGGCTTATTCCCAAAACCTAGTCTATACAGAGGAGTTGTATATTTTTTTGAGTGATTGTGTCCAACTTCCATCACCTACTTCAGTACATCTCATTTTAATTTGCCATGTGGATAAAGGTATTTATGGAGGATAGTATCTGCTCCATAAACACCTTTATGAAGATGAAATTAGCTGAATTTGACTATTAATGGACATCTAAAATATACTCAGTTTGCATTCGGGCTGCTGTTTGAATGCCAGACTTGCTACTATCACAGTTTATTTTTTTAAAAAAAGTTCTTGTGACTCCTTATATAAATGTACTGCTTCATGTATTTGCAGTGTGTTTTACTCAAGTTTAGAAAAGCTGTGAGTGGGGGGAAGGGTATCTCATTTTCAACACCAGAGAACAATGAATGTAAAATCTTTAGGATTCCCAGGAATAACTTGTTTGGTGTAAGTTTAGCTTTGATGTGAAAATAACTTATTTTACAGGAAATTAAGAGAATGAAGGCAATTCTGAAAACAAATATAACTTTCCCTTAGGGGAAATCTAAATGGTTTTATGTGGTGGTCTTTGAAGATGCCAGCCTAAGTGTCGGGGAAACCTCAGAACTTCTGCCGTGATGCACCTTTGCTTCAGAGCTTTGTGCCATCATGTTGTGACTTCTTCAGGGGAAGGTGGCCAGCCAGCCAGATTAATGAGGCATTGCCCCTGAAAGAGGAGCTGTAACTCCACTGCCTGCCCTAATCATGGTCCCCTTGCCTGTCTTCTGCTGGCTCTGGTGCTGGCCCACTGTGACCTGGTTAACTCATTAAATTAGCTGTGAAGAAGTATCCCATCAAGAAAGAATAATTTCGGCAAGGTCAGAGGAGGGCCTGAAAAGGACTAGAATTTGTTCAAGGAGGGAGGATGTTTATGAATCCTCCAGTGCAGGACAGTTTTTCTCTTACAAGGACAGATAGTTCGTGGGGTGATTGCTGAGGGGGTTTTTTTTTCAGCCTCACAAGACCTCCCCACTTAGCAGCATTAAATGTGGGATAAAAAGGCGTTCTTCTGAGTCTTTTCTCTTTTGGTGGAAGCTGTGTTTTTGCATTTGAGTTTGGCTGCATACTGAGGTGGGTGTCCTTCTTATACCAAGAATCTGTCTCGATCTCACGTCTGCTTCCAAAATACTGTTTCAGTATACTATAGGCTTTAACTTATGCTTTAACTTAGAGTGAGAATAAATACATCTTGTCTGGAAGTTTGATATGTCTTCCCTTTTACTGGAGTAATAAATAGGAACAAGCACCAGAATTTTTCTGTTTAAAAGAAGTTTATAGCATCTGTTACATTTTTTACTTCTTTTTCCTCCCTGTGGTGTTTTCTAATAATTACAATGGAATTAAAAGTTGTTTAACCTTGGTATTGCTCTCAGGGCTGGTAAAAATGACTTGACCATCCTGAGTTCCTGTCGTGGATAACAACTGCATTGTGCTTTGTTCCCTCGAAGAAAGCCTTATTTGGAAGGATGCTTTTTTGTTAATGCGATAGAAGGAAAATTGTCATGACCTATATAGTAACTTTGTAATGTAGAGGTGATGGGCAGGAGCAATATCTTCCCCTACTTCCTCTGCCCTTGCATCAATTATAGCAAGCAGGTGATATAAGAAGTACCTTCTCTACAGGGTGTAGAAGAAATTCTGCAGTAATGCACAGAGCAGTAATTTGCTGCCAATATTTATTTCAAAAAATTCTTTGTGGATGAAACTTTATATAAGCATTCCATCCCTCTGAGTTGAAAGACTTAAAACAGAGGTTTTTTTAATTGCTAGGCCTATGTACTTCTGGCAGAAATAAAATTCATACAGTAAAGGTGCTTGACCACTTCAGTTTTGATGTGAGGCAATACTTTAATATGTTTTCTTAACTAAATATCTTTTATTAAGTACTTGCAGCAACAGTAGGATACTTCTCTCTTTGCTGCAGCACAGTTTTCCTCTGGGATATTGGGAAGGTGAAACCTGTGTTTTGAGGGAACATTTGTTGAGAGAAAAATAAAATCACCAACCAAAGCCAAAAATAAAGTGGTTTCTTAGTCAGTTGCTATTTTGACTTGAAGTTTCAGAGAATTGCTGGAGAGGACATCATTTGCCAGGCATTCCCTGTAGATTGGTTCTCCTTTTCTTTTGAAGGCATTAAACTTTGACCTCTTATTTGGAATGAATCTTTTTTCAAGAGCTTCAAGGGCTCTTCATCATTTGTTTCTTCTTTGATTTTATTGATTGGGAAAAAAAAAGGAATTGGTGCACTGGATTTCAAGGTGTATTCATTCTATTGTGTAATGCCCATTTAAGATCTTTCATCATAGAAACTTATATTTTCTCTGGCAGAGCTCTTATCTCAGCTATCAGGTGTGAGGCGATCTGCAGGAGGACAACTCAACTCCTCTGGCCCTTCTGCTTCTCAGTTACAGCAGCTGCAGATGCAACTGCAGTTAGAACGACAACATGCACAGGCAGCAAGACAACAACTGGAGACTGCACGCAATGCAACTAGGCGCACCAACACGATCAATGTCAACACCACTATGACACAATCTACAACAACAACCAACACATCTAACACAGAAAACAGTCAGCAGACTATCCAGAATTCCCAGTTTCTTCTTACAAGGTAACTTGTTCTGTGTATTTACTTGCATTTACATTTTACTGCTTCTGTTTGCCTTAGTCCTGGTAGGAGACATAGAGCTCAATGAAACTGGAGTGTTGGAGTTAGGCATACGCCCTGGTAAAGCAGTGTTTGATCAGGTATATGCTAGAGTTAACAGCTGGCTAATCATACACACTAGACAGAATTTATAATGCATAAAACTTAATTCATCGACATTTCTAGCATGAGAATAAAACTGGTAATGTCATACCCAGGAGTAGCAGGTCATAGCTGGCCCAAAGGGAATGCTGCTTTTGGGAAGCTAACTCCAAGAAATGGCTGCAGAAATACCCTCTGGTGGTCTAGTGTTTGCAGAAAGGATGGTCAGTCTCAAAAGTGCACTGTACTTTTGACGCACGTGTTTGAAGGATTAGACTTGAGCATGGATTTCTGCAAACCTTGAAAAGGAGGCTAGTTTTGAGTTTTGCCTGAATAAGCTACTTAAAGCTCCAGGCAGGGGATTTCTGCCAGATCCATCATCAAGTCTGCAGCCAGCATACTGCGCTTTTGTTTGCATTTGTAACATCTTTTGAAACCTACAGTCTGTCTGCTCCTAAGCAATGGGTAAACATTAGTTGCTGCATCTCAACTTCAACAGGAACAAAAGGAATATTTCTTGACTAAATTGTGCTTGTTCCCCCTGCTACTTCCAACAAAGCAAGTGCATTTCCAGTGATACAAGCGTATAGACTTGAGCCATAAAGAAGAGGGAGAGAGTCAGAAGACTGTGTGATTTAATAGGAAATGAATCTTTAGTAAAGGCTGAAGGTTGAATAGGGGTTTATATATTAATTATTTTAGAGACTAGATAACAAAGCAAATAAAGGATACCATTCATTAACAGAATACTTACCTGATTTAGAATTTGTACTTAGATCCCAGGATTATTTTAAAGAGGAGTCACCCACTATGTCGTTCTACTTCTTTTAGAAGAGTATTGACACAAAATGAAAATGTTTTCCCCATCTCCCTTGCCATGCCCCCCATACAGACTCTTATTTGTCTGGTATTGTGAAAGAGGATGGGCATTTTAACAGGTCCTATGTCAAGAAACCTGGATTTGAGTCAATTTAATTTTTACCTAAGTGCAAAATGATACCATGCAACATCTTTCAAGTGAAAACTCTATTATTATTTGAGAAACTTCATCAGATTGTGACTTCCAGAGTTGTAGTGAGCACGTTCCTTGCCTATCAGGGCATGCACTATAGCCTAGGAAAAGCAGTGGGAGGGATGTTGTATCGTGCTTTGGAAATACCTAGGCTTTACACATTCAGTAATGTATTTTGTGGCATACGTGTACATAGAAGTTGACCTAGAAGCAAAGCAGCCATGTAATGAGTGTCTAGGAGATCACAGCAGTCCTCCCTAAAAGACTCCTGAATAGCAAGAAACTTCACAAATAGGTTTTTTTTTAATTATTTTCCTCTAGATTTAGGGTCTACTTTTGTTCTAGCAGCGGGGAGAGCGAGCACGGTTTGTTAAATGCGCGCCTGTTGCACTGAGGTGCGGGAAGTTGCCAGAGCTGTACGCGGGAAGGGCAAGCGGGACCACCCCCAAGCACTGGCTCTGGGGCGCCTTTTGACGTGGCGCCTGTCAGTAGCGTCATCTGTGAAACAGGCTTCTGCCAACTGCCTGTCTTCTTCTCTTCTCTCCTCTTCTCTTCTCTTCCCTTGCTGCTGTACAGGTTGAATGATCCGAAGATGTCAGAAGCAGAACGTCAGTCAATGGAAAGCGAACGGGCAGACTGCAGCCTGTTTGTTCAGGAGCTTCTACTGTCCACTTTGATGCGGGAAGAAAGTTCCTCCTCAGATGAGGATGAGCGGGGGGAGATTGCAGATTTTGGTGCTATGGGCTGTGTAGATATTATGCCTCTAGATGTTGCTTTAGAAAACCTGAATTTAAAAGAGAGTAATAAAGGAAATGAGCCTCCTCCACCTCCTCTTTGATGACATCCCACTTTGCAGACAATGTCCTCTGTGCTGTATTTGCCAATGAAAGTGGACAACAACTATCTTGGGTTTGTTTTGGTGATTGTAATTTCAGGTCTGTCACTCTTGTTACATTGTGTACATTCAAAAGAAAGAGAGAAAAGATATATATGATAATCATTTCCACTTAACTAATTTTTACTTCTAGCAGGTAAATGTAGGTTGCAGTGCAGAGCAGAAAGCTCTGTGTCCTGTACCTTGACATGCAAAAGGCTCTCCTAATACTCCACATTCAAACTGAAGAGGAAAAAAAATGAAAAATCTCTAATGAAGCTGCTGTGTGTATTTATGAATATTAATGAATAAAAACTGCTTGGATGGTTTACCTTAACTATTGCATGATGTTTTTTGCAGCGTGCATGAGTTTTAGTGACCTTGTCATTTAAAAATTTAAATACAAGGAGTAAAACTAAAACCCAGAGCTTTCCCATTATTCAGAGGTTACATGACAAAAAGGCTGGTGCTGACCAGCAGGTTTTGGCCACAGAGTAGCTTTTGGGTAATTTGTGACAGAATGCCACCTTTATGTGCTGTTCCCACACAGGATGGAGACTCTGCGGTGCCATGTATTGTTGTGACCAGGGTGTGGCATTTTGCTGTATGTCAGCCATCACCTCCACTTCACCTGTGGAGCTGAACTTCATTTTATGCATCTGTAGGAGACACACCAGTAAGGCCGCTGCTGGAAGCTACTGCAAGGGGCACTTGTGTGCCCTAAAATCAAATGATGTTCACTTTTGTTTAAAGTTTTTCCTTTTTGTGGTTGTTAAAATTTTTCAATTGTTAAATACATTTTATTCAGGTGTAGACAAATTCATATATTCACTGTGTTTAAAAAAAAAAAAGTTAACCTGGATCTTGTTGTCTTAGTTTAAAAAGCTTTTCACAGTCTCAATCATATTTTGAGTTAATTTTGTATTTGCTTCATAGTTCGCAAAGACGTGTCAGTATCCGGAGAGCTTGAGGATGTGGGTTCCCAGATTGTCAGTACATTACAATTGAATTCTTAAGGCTAACTTTAGCACCTTTTATTTATTGTTTCTTTTGGTTATTTTTGCTGGTATAAAAAGTTGAAAAAGCCTTTTAGTTGAATCGTGCCACCTACATGCCTATACTGTTAACCCAACTGGCTTTGAAAAAAATTGTGGTGTTCTTGTACATAGAAGTTTATAATAGCTCCAAGACAAGGACAGAAGAGGTATGTTTGGTTTTGGTTTTGGCTTCTTTCCTCCCCCCATTTTTTTTGAATGTAAAGTTAGATTATAAAAACAAAAGTGCACACAGCTTCTGATAAAAATTTAAACTAGGCTTTTGTCATAATGGTGTCTTTCTCACCTCACCCCCTCTCTATTCCTCTGTATCCTTCCATCTCTGCAGCATTGCTAGCATTTTAGAGTAAATTTGCAGACTTGAACACCAGATGGTGTTCTCAGCAGAACTGTGACATGTATGCTAATCCAGAATAACAGCAGCAAAAGAAGCAACCCCATAGACTGAAGTTTAACTTCCATTCCCTTTTTAAAAAAAAAAAAAAAAAAAAATCCTCAAATCCTGATTGTTTCCACATAGAACAGTACTAGCTTTGTTTTCTTTTGATCTCTGCAACAGAAAATATTTCAAGGGAAACTTTTCATGAGGCCTCTGGTTATCCTGAGAGTTACCCCCTGTAGGGACTTTTTTTATTGATTATTGAGGATTTTCAAAAACTGTTCAAGCTGTAGTCTCTTCGAACACATCTTCTGCACATTACAATAAGACACACGGTTCAATAAAGCATTTTCAAGACTGTTGTTCACTTGATTTTTCTTTGGTTTTGGTGTATCATCCAGTTTTGTTCCAGATATTTCTGCAGCTCTCTGATTCCAGCTGTATACAAAATCAGTTCATGTAGAAATCCTGGGTGCTTTACATAAACACATTGTAAAACTGTGTACTTTAGTAGGTGATGAAGTATGTAATCCTAAATTCTTCACAGGTGGGTCAATTCAAGTTTCTGTAGAACAAAATGCCTTTAAAATGGGCTGTTGTCGGTGAGTTCCTTAAAATGCGAGGCTGGCTGGTCTCCAGAGGACATGTGCTTTGAAGAGGATGTAAACCAATACTAACTGTATTTATAAACTGAATATATGCTGACTTGGATTTAAAGGTATTTAGTGATTCACCACATTAACTCTTGTTTGGTGGGGTTTTTTTTAGGTTTAGAAATAATATGAAATGGCTGCTAGGAAGGTGTTTATTCTGCCAGTTCCTGGTTGCAGGGAAGTGTTTTTCCTTCAGAGAGTAAGCTTTGTCAGGAGAGTGTTTTTTGGAGTATTTCCAAAACATTTGTGTTTATTTTGAATGAAAATAGCCTTCAGGAGCATTGCAGGAGAGTTTTGTAGAGGGTTATTGCCTTTTCCCTGTGAGGGGACAAAAAAAGACCAAACAAAAAGGATGTGATTTTGGGTTGTTTTTTAACACCCAGGATGAACACCACCACGTCAGAAAGGGGAGCTGTAACATTTGGCACTTGGCAAAATTCCAGCGCAGTGAAACCCCTCTTACCAGACTCCAGTGTGTGTTTTGATGCTCATCGTATGATCCCTGGGGGTGCAGGCTCAAAGCAGGGCTGGGACAGGTCCCCAGCTGCCTGCCAGGCCTGTGCTGGGCCAGGTGGTTGTTGTACCTATGCTGGGCCAGGTGTTGTGTTTGTTGTCCCTGTGCGTGGCTCGGCCCTGGGTACAGCTGACTCTGGCACCAGCCACCAGCTGGTGAGAGCTGCCACAGAGCCTTTTTGGCAGAGGAGGCAGACAGGAGGGCGTATAGGCATCGCCAATATTTTGCAGCCCTTGAAGGGGTAACAGAGTTGTTTGAAGGTGTTGGGGAACAGGTCCCACCAGACTGTTGATGGAAAACATATTTCTAACTGCGCAGCGTATTTTGTCTGTACTGTAATCTGCTTTAGTGAAGGCTGTTATTTTTTTCTGTTGGGTTCAGTGCCACAGACAGACACACACTTAACAGAGGGTGGTGTGATAAACGGTGGAAATGCATTTTTAGTTCCATCCACCTTAAGTTTTACTTGTGGTTGTTACGATGGCCTTCATCAGTCTCCCGGGATGGTTATGGGGTAGTGGTTGGTTGTGTTCTGTTTGGGGTTGGTTGGTTGATTGGTTGGTTGGGTTTTTTTTCCCCCCCCTTCCTCTGCACTCATCTCAGCAAGTCTTTGCAAGGCCTTCCTTCTCAGCATGGAGCTGTGCTCCCAGGTAGCTTGTGGACTTTGGGGAAACCAGACATCTAGCTGTGTGCACATTTTGGCAGGTTTGAGATGCTTGTGTATTAGAAAGGAGTAAAGTCAATTCTCTGTTAGCAGCCGGAAGTCCCACGAGGTGGAGATGCTCTGCTGCCTCCTGGAGCCCTCAGAGGACCTGAAACAGGGAAGCAGTGGATACATTTGCCATGTGAAGGCTTTTCCAGTTACATTACTTAATCTTCCTTTCCTCTTCCTGCCATACTTGACCTTCACTTCTGGATCTGCCTGTTTTGACAAATAAATGGGACACCTACATATTTTGAGGAAATTTTATTCCTTAACTCCTAATGAAAGGGAACTAAATAGTGTTGCCCAGCACGAAACTGGCCTCTGCGGTGCTGTGTCCTGCACTGAAGGGTGAGGTCCTCCTCGGTGGTCCTGGCTGCAAGGCTTGCAGGCCAGTCTGTAGAGCCTCCGTGTACGTGTGCTGATGGTCCTTGCATTGGACAGTGGGTGCAAATGTGCTGGGCTCTGCTTTGCTGCAGAAAGGATCTTGATACAGCCCCATATGCACAAAGATTTATTTGCAGCTGTTAGGTGCACTGCATAGCGGTTAACATCACTTGGGGAGGGAGGAGATTGAAAAGAGAAACTGCATCTTCTGGGTTGTGCTTCCACCACGTGACCTTTTCACACAGCAGTAGCTGTTGCCTCCTGCAGAACATGTAGAACAGAAGGATAATCACACGGGGTATAGTGGCACCAGTGGGGCTCCCTGCAGCGGTGTGGAAGACAACCAGCAAAGGTGGAGGTCAGGGGTGGGGTGGGCCAACCCCCCTTCCCCCTACCCCAGCGCCCCCGTGGGGCATAAGGAAGGGAGTC